TAGCTATATTGTGATATATATCGTTACCTAGAAATACGATTTCGGTCATATCGCCCACCCAACTCTCAAAATTGTCCCCAAGTTTCCCCAGTCACAAATGTGACTCGAGACCACTCGTGTCTAATTTCCAACTAGGAAACTTAGATGGCAACACGTAAAGGTGTGCTCACATTTATTCTTGCTAGTTAAAATCCAGTGGGCTTTACAGGAATCTGTGCAATCACGCAGATTCTGCTTGTGTTGAACATTTGCCGTGCTCACCAACAAAGTTGCTTGGTTTCAAAGTGATGTATGCGAGTGATGTATTACACTACTGACAATGTTTTGGCCCGCGTACCGTGAGGGAAGTACATGGATTGACCAAAATCTTCATCACCAACCCAGATATTTATTAGAAGCACTAAACTGACCCTCCAGACTTCACTAGGATACAAACCTCGATGACACCATCAGGCTCCATTCCTTCAGGCCCCCCATGGTCTCGATCTCGTGAGCTTAAAAATAAAATGGAGAATAAACTTTTAGTACAAGAAGTTTCTAGTATCTTGAACCTTCAGGAAACGCGCGTGCAAGCGAGAGCACATTCCAAAACTACCACGTGGACCACCGTTAACAATCAAAGCGGTGGTAAATTACCATTTTAGCGAATAATAGGTTGTATTCCGTGAAAATAACTTAGTCGTGGTCTACCTTGAAGCCTACGCCCAAATTTGGTCCGACTTGTTACAGTAGAATCACCTCGTCACGTTTGATGTGCTAAAAGCGGTTTCTACTACCCATAATTATTTTATAATATCATTTATATAGCTCCCGATAAAAATGGTTAAATAAACTTTTAGTACAAGAAGTTTCTAGTATCTCGAACCTTCAGTATGAAGGTATTTTTGGTGCAAAACAACTGAGTGACCGTGACAGCGGAATTTGTAGTTGTAGAGAATAGCCACACATGTGTATCAGTAAATCTGAAGTCACAGACAAAAGTTGCATACTTGTAGATATTTTTTTCTCTCCCACGAACACAACACAACAGTTACACGTTCACTGCAGGTGCACAAATCCTAGTCTACGAATCACAAATCAAGAAACTCGTACGCTCACAAGTTTTGCTACTATTGCTGCAGTGAATATGGTGCAAAACACATTCACACACCTGCATGTGTGTGAATGTGTTTTGCACCATATTCACTGCAGCAATAGTAGCAAAACTTGTGAGCGTACGAGTTTCTTGATTTGTGATTCGTAGAATATGATTTGTGCACCTGCAGTGAAGGATTCAAGAACGTGTAACTGTTGTGTTTGTGGGAGAGAAAAAAATATCTACAAGTATGCAACTTTTGTCTGTGACTTCAGATTTACTGATACACATGTGTGGCTATTCTCTACAACTACAAATGCTGCTGTAACGGACACTCAGTTGTTTTGCACCAAAAATACCTTCATACTTCAGGAAACGCGCGTGCAAGCGAGAGCACATTCCAAAACTACCACGTGGACCACCGTTAACAATCAAAGCGGTGGTAAATTACCATTTTAGCGAATAATAGGTTGTATTCCGTGAAAATAACTTAGTCGTGGTCTACCTTGAAGCCTACGCCCAAATTTGGTCCGACTTGTTACAGTAGAATCACCTCGTCACGTTTGATGTGCTAAAAGCGGTTTCTACTACCCATAATTATTTTATAATATCATTTATATAGCTCCCGATAAAAATGGTTAAAGAAAGACAACAACTACGACTTTATGAAATATACCTGCGATATTTAAAGGTAGTGAACGCGGTGTGAATACAAGGCCTCAAGCATGGAGGCCACGAGTTAGATTTCAGGGTGGGCGTGAAGCCTAGATAACTTACTAGTCATCGTTTCGGTCCTTAATAACGGCACTTACACAAAAAAAATTGTATTAAAATAGCCAATTTAGTCGCAAATGAGCGCCGAGTACGTGAGAATACACATGTAAGCATACGCAGCTAACTAGCGGCCTGCGCCAAGTCAAAACCCACAGCACCGGCGCTATAATGAGCCCGACGCCTCTCTAGTTCAAGAAGATACACATTTATGGACAGTATTTGACATAAAGTGAATGAAGGTTACGTGTCGTAACGAGTTTACCTGTTGTAATCAGCAGAACCGCTAGACATGGTCCGTTCGCGACTTCGGCGTTCACTCGGAAAGGAAGAACATGTGGAGCTCTGGCGATTTTATCTAACCGGAACTTCTTTTTGTACATTTAGAGTAAAACTGTATAAACGCTAAAGCAGCTACACGCGATTGACGTTTTATCGATTGCGACAAGAGATGTAATGCGAGCTAAATACGTATTAATTTTAGCAGTGTTTATCTTTGTTATGTCGAAGTTTGCATGGGACTATATGGGGAAGCGCAAGGATATTGCACCATTGATAGGGAGTAGTGGAGTCGCTACGGGGTCTCCACAGTTCTGAAACACTGCAAAGAAAGTGAATGATGACTAAAAATATTATATGGCTAATAATTAAAAGGTTTTGTGTGAACTCTTCCTTGTAGCGATAGAGGTTGACGAGCCTTATTTATTTTGTATTTAATTATATAATATAATGATTTCTGTGTGTAAGTAAGCATTCACAAAGAGTAATACCTATAGTTATTTAAATATTGTACAGTAAAAAAAGTATTAACCAACTTGTACTGACTTTAACTTTTAACATTGTGTTAATTTATATTACGTTTCCATTGGAAATCTCAATTTCAAACTAATTTACATATAGAGAGAGAGAGAGAGAATCTTTGAAATGTAAAGCTACTTTATTTAACAATCTTAAGATCCAGTCAAAACACCACAAATATTATTCGATACGACTTGAGGAAAAACAAGAGAGAGCGAGAGTCCTCTTGACCTGGTCTGACCCTCGAGGGCAGAGAAATCAAGTGTCTCCTGTACGCTGACGTCCTTCTGCTGCTGTCGCCTCATGAAGAGGCGCTGCACCAAAGCATCTCCATCTTGGAAAAGTACAGCAATGATTGGGCCTTATCGATAAACATGGAGAATTCTAAAATCATGATCTTTCAGAAAAAGCCCAATTGTTTTGCTGGGGGGAAGAAAGAGTTTATGATTGGGGGAAAAGTTCATAATCATGTCACCTGTTATAATTATTTGGGTCTGACCATCTCAGCCTCTGGACAGTTCATTAGTTCAATAAAAGATCTGACGGATAAGGCACGCAGGGCTTTTTACAGTTACGCCTGTAAGAAAACCACTGTTCAAATTCAACTCACCCATTTAATTGTGGCTGAAAATCTTCGATAGCATCATCAAACCCATTCTTCCTCCCAAAATTAAACTAAACTATATTGAAATTTTCCACCTTGAGTTCTGCAGAAACATAGGAATTCATAGAAATGCCCCAAGTCTTGGCTGCAGGGCAGAACTGGGCAGATTTCCTCTGCTCTCGCTGAGAGCAGCGAAGTTCTGCTTCCACCTATCAGACACCCCGACAGATAGCTACCATCACAGTGCTTTCACATACAGGGAAAAACCACCCAGAGAGTGACCCCATGCACTATTTAGTGGAAAAACATCAAATCGATTCAACAATTCGGTTTAGGTATTCAAAAATTAAAGAAACAGAAAAAAACAACCCAGAAAGAATACATTCATGATTGGCACCAGAGGTAGGCGACCGCCTTGGGCCCCCAAAAGCCAAGGGCCCCCTAAAATGCTTTTCATATACGAGATGCGCATTAAGTACTGATTTTAAAAACAAGCAAGCCCTGTCCAGATTTAAAAAGTAACGCAAAAGTAACGTAACGCATTACTTTCCATAAAAAGTAACTAAGTAACGTAATTAGTTACTTTTTTATGGAGTAATGCAATATTGTAATGCATTACTTTTTAAAGTAACTTTCCCCAACACTGGTAAACAGTACAGCATGTTATGCATTGATTATTATGTCGATGACATTTTACTCAGGAGAGTGATGGAGAGGCAACATTAATATGTTTTTCTTAACCCTCAGGTATTGCTTACTTATAATGTGACCATACAGCTTAACTATTTTTCAGTTAAATAAGCGTTGTATATTTTAGTTCAATAATATTTATTTAATATTTTGAGGAGATCTTTTGGTACTAAATACTATTTGTGCAATAGTTATGGTCCATTAATTACTTAATTTTGTTTTCTAACATGTCTATACTTCTATCACAATTAGTGTAGTATTTGGTTAAAATAGAGAAAAGGGTTTTAAATTCCAATGCAAAGAGGAAAATTAGAGTCATTTTGTGGTCAGAACATTGTTTTTTTCATTTGTAATGCCATGGTTTACCTACTAGGTACCTGTATGGCTCTTTACTAAATATATCTAGAATATTGCATATTCAAGGTCATACTTGCTTACATTTTTTTAAAGTTCTTAATTTGAATAAACATTTAGACGAGATTAAACACTAGATTTTTAAATGAGAAATGTAAAAGTTAATAACTTAGGCCTACTTCCTTTTTTAATAATACTCGCATAATTACACATAACGAATGCAAGCAAATACTGAATTTAAACCAAGTTTAAAATGGAGCTAAAAAGGCATTAAACAATTTTTTTTTTGTGAACACACTCTGGCTCTCCAGCTCTGCTTGTGTCGGCCCGTCTGTGTTCATTAATACGATATTTCATCAGCAGCTTTCTCTGAGGATAGTCTTTAATACGGCTCAGATATGGTGCCAGTTTATAATCAGATTTTATTCTGTGGAAGTAGTTTATTTCTTTAATCGAGTTACTTTATGGTGCCAATCAGGAGCGGATTTAGTGATTTTGGGGCCCCAGGCAATGGGGCCCTATATATTTGCACACATTTACCTAGTTCCTTTTTTGTTGTGATGCTTGCTGCTGCACAATGGTGCCCCACAGTTGTGTCCAATGTTTCTACATTTTTTCATGTACATGTTATAATGGCTTTCTTTCATGTGTAGACTACGAAAAATAGCAATAAATTATAAAATGATAAACCTCACAACTGAGCCTTTAAACCATTTTTTAAGAAAAGAGATGAGTCGGAAGTATAAAATATGATATTCATTTAAAACGGGGTTATGTGGGTGGATTTTCGCATTGGTCTGAACAAAAACTGCAGACGGGATTATTGAAAATGCACATACATTCTCTGCCAGCAGGAAGCGCTTTTGGAACATCAGAAATACAGCGGTTTCCTCGGTAACGGCTGTAAACAAAGCAGCGCTGCTCATAAATGCTACTTTATCAGATAACATTTACATTTAGTCATTTAGCAGACGCTTTTATCCAAAGCGACTTACAAATGAGGACAATAAAAGCAGTCAAAACTAACAAAAGAGCAACAATATATAAGTGCAAATGACAAGTCTCAGTTAGCCTAACGCAGTACACGTAGCAAGGTGTATATATATACATATATATATTGTACACACACACACACACACACATGCACACATTTACCTAGATCAGCCTTGAGGTTCCTTTTTTGTTGTGATGCTTGCTGCTGCACAATGGTGCCCCACAGTTGTGTCCAATGTTTCTACATTTTTTCATGTACATGTTATAATGGCTTTCTTTTTTTCTTTTTTAAACCATTTTTTAAGAAAAGAGATGAGTCGGAAGTATAAAATATGATATTCATTTAAAACGGGGTTATGTGGGTGGATTTTCGCATTGGTCTGAACAAAAACTGCAGACGGGATTATTGAAAATGCACATACATTCTCTGCCAGCAGGAAGCGCTTTTGGAACATCAGAAATACAGCGGTTTCCTCGGTAACGGCTGTAAACAAAGCAGCGCTGCTCATAAATGCTACTTTATCAGATAACATTTACATTTAGTCATTTAGCAGACGCTTTTATCCAAAGCGACTTACAAATGAGGACAATAAAAGCAGTCAAAACTAACAAAAGAGCAACAATATATAAGTGCAAATGACAAGTCTCAGTTAGCCTAACGCAGTACACGTAGCAAGGTGTATATATATACATATATATATTGTACACACACACACACACACACATATACACACACACATAAAATGAAAATGCCACCGAAACTTTTCTGAAGACAGTCGGTTCCCTTCAGAGATTCATTCATATAAAAACTTTAATTAGTGAGAATGAGAAAAATATAGCCTATATTGAGGAGGAAAGTCCACTGAAGTGTTAAGCCTGTCTGTCGAAGGCTATCTAATTCTAAACTTTAAAATACACTTATTTTAGTTATTTTAACTGCAAATTTAAATGAAAATGAAAAAATAATAAAATGGAAATGATACAATTACACACCTAAGGATTATATCAACCAAACAAGTAACTGCATACGCGTCCTCTACTTGGGTCCTTCTCACAAATGAGTAGGCTAAGCGGCATTTAAAACAATAAACATATAATATGCACTGTTGCTCAATATTTAATTACAGATACATGATATTTTCATTTGCTACAAGCTTCAACTCGGACACGCAAACGGTTGTCGTGGTGATAACTCGCGTTACTTGTAATGCGTTACCCCCAACACTGCTGTTTACCAAAAATTGCTGCAAATACCTTTTGTTTACCGTTTGTTTGGAGAGCTCTATGAATCACGTGACCGCGTGGCGTTTCAAAGCTTGACGCGGCTCTGTTTTTCAATAGCTCTGGCTTTAACTGAAGCGCTACATTTTACGATTTACGCCACATCAAGTGCGCCAAAACCGTATTTACTGTTAGAATGTAGTATTAAGCAGTGTTGGGGGGTAACGCATTACAAGTAACGCGAGTTACGTAATCAGATTACTTTTTTCAAGTAACTAGTAAAGTAACGCATTACTTTTTAATTTACAAGAGAATATCTGAGTTACTTTTTCAAATAAGTAACGCAAGTTACTTTTTTTTCCAATTTATTGATTGACGGCTCTCCTGTCCCCATGTTGAGAGAAATCACAAGATGTTACTGTAGTTCTAAAATAAATATGAATATGCATTAATTCATCTCACTCACAAAAAAATACACAGATTCAGTATTCCTCAAAATGAATAAAAAAATTACCTCTTGACTAACTGCTAGTTGGTCAAACTAGTTCTTAAGACACAGTCTTAACAGTCTTGGCTACGTTTATGCAACTGGCCCAATGTCTGCCTTTCGAAACAGGAGTTGACGCTGAACATTGAGAAGTTGACTCTTGAAGCCAACCAGAAGAGAAAAAACTTGGACAGTGAAGTCACCGAGACTGTTACAG